GAGAATAATTTTTTTTTTTTTTTTTTTTTTTGATAAAATCCACAGTGCTGCGCGCTCGGCTCGGAAGATTCAGGCGTCAGTTTGCGATTATCGTAAAGCGATAATTGCTTTAAAAATTTCGCGAACGTCCCGGAAACACTTTGGGGAGCGCATTCGAGTTTCCTGTGAAAATTAACGCGATCGTACGCGAAGCGTATTATTGAGCGATGCATGCGCTCGATGTCGTGCTCGCTGTTGACACGCTATATTATTGCGGCGTGTCAACTGGATGATTGACTGTGTGATTAACGTGCGACATGTGTTTACAGATATTCCTGTTACTCTTTCTGCTGCTGTATATCACGAGTCACGCGCTGATCGAGCGTTTTAGACGTCGCGATCGCGAAGACTATCTCTCAGTGGACGAGGATGAAGCCACCGTGTACAAGATCAGTCACAGTTTATGCACGGTCGCGCTGGCGGTGTCCATCGGTGCTACACTCCTCCTTCCGGTGTCGATCGCCAGCAACGAAGTGCTCATCCTCTACCCGAACAGCTACTATGTTAAGTGGCTCAATAGCTCCCTCATCCAAGGTAAGTCGAACGATTTGTATTGAAAGAAAACGATAAGGCCGAATATGTTTGTCTTTCTGATCGTCGAGAAAATTGTCCTGCCATCAACTTGTCCTTTTTTGTCATCGGCAGGTCTGTGGAATCTCGTATTTCTGTTCTCCAACGTGTCACTCTTTGTGTTTCTACCTTTCGCCTACCTCTTCACAGAGTCGGAGGGTTTCATGGGCCATAAAAAGGTAAGGCGGGGCCATCCGATAATTCAGCCAATTTAACGTGCTGTAATGCAAGGCTGCGCCTCTTCCGTTTTGCTTTATTGAAACAATCCTGATCGTAGGGCGTGATGGCGAGGGTGTACGAGACGCTGACTGTTCTCTTTTTGCTGGGCACTCTCGTACTGGGAATGACGTACGTGCTGTCTGCCCTCCTAGATCATCAAAATTCGAGTTTGCACACATTGCTCAGTAAGTATATGCGTACATGCATACGTGTAGAGGTCTAAAATTGTCTCAAGGTTCTTAAATTCTTGCTCTAGTAACAAATACAATAATAGTAATAATTTCGGATAATTTGGGCGTTGAAATTAATCTCGTAATTGATACACAGAGAGAATGATTTGTTGAATCAAGTAAACGTTTCTTTGGAATAGTCCAAATAAATTTTTTAATTGACACAACAAAAATATTTCTTTAGAATTAAGACGTAAATAAATATTTTTGTTGCGTTAAACAAAATTTTGTTCAATCAATCAAAAAATTCGTTGGATTATTCCAAAGAAGTGTTTATTTGATTCAACCAAATCGTTCTCTCTGTGTATAAGATCAAAGAAGTTAAATTTTTTTAATTATAAAAGAGTTGAAATTATAACTACATAAATGAGAGTTTGATTTAAATCAATATCATTTTGCAGATTTATGGAGTTACTATTTGCCTTTCTTGTACTCCTGCGTCTCATTCGTCGGCGTTGTGATGTTGTTATGTAAGTATTCTCTCGCTGTCACTTGATATCGTAACAATCTTACATATCCTAGTATTAATATAAGTGCTAGTATTTCGAGAACTAATCGATATATCGACGTTCTGTCACGCAGTATGTACTCCCGTGGGATTTGTGCGACTATTTGGTGTCGTGGGATCCTTTCTGGTTAAGCCTCAATTTCTGAAGAATTTGGATGAGGAATTTTATGCTTATAGATTGGAGGAAGATTGTATCCGTCGGCGGTAAGCGCTCCTCTCTCTTGCGTACGCTCGTCGCTCTCGAGCGCGTTGTCGTAGATTCAGCTTGATATAACTCAGCGTGCATTCAGATTACAGCATGTGAAAGCGACGGGTAAGTCGTACGTGTCGCCGGTGCCAATGTCTGTACCGGGTTGTGGCTCGTTGATAGAGGAGGACGAGCCGTTGCTAAGTATGAATCCGAGTCTGATGTGCCTCAGAAATGGTGCTTTGCAGAAAGGCCTTGCCGAGAGGCTAGAAGACATTCAGAAACAGCGACAGTTGTTGGACCGGCAAAGGAGCACGTGGTGGGTGAGGCGTACGCTGTTCTATCCGCTGGCGATGCTGACTCTGCTTGTCCTGTCTACCGCCACTGCTCTATTGGCAGTGCAGAACACACTGGAGCTGTTAATAGGCATCAAAGCGCTGCCTTTAAGCACGAGGGTACGTGTAATATTGAGATATTGAGCTCCGGAGATTTCAGCTTGACGGAATGCTCTTTTGCGAGGCAAAATTTAACAACTGGAATACAAGGAAAACAATACAGTTTAACATTTACATTTTCCACTCCACTATTTCACTTTTAAATCCCTTACACTTGATCGAAGTGAGATACGCGAATGCGACTTGCTATTCTGAGAGAAATATTATTGAATTCTTTAAATTATACATGTAAAATGTACTTTGTTTTCTCAATAATTATATGATAATTTTCGATATAAACATGTCACGTGCAACGAAATTTAAAAATACATCCCTGGAACTAATGAAATAATGATTGAGTAATCGTTTGCTTAACAGCAATTTACGCTTGGCATCAGTTCACTGTCGAAGCTCGGACCTATCGGAGCGACCATTGAAGTGGCGGTAATTCTTTATCTGGCCGTGACTAGCGCGATCGGCCTGTACGCGCTACCAGGTGTGAGGAAGGTTCAACCGAAGTTGCATTCAACACAACTCACTCATCTTATCGCGAATTGTGCCCTCCTGCTCGTACTCAGCTCAGCGTTACCGTTGTTATCACGAATACTAGGTGGGTAGTGTATTATCTAAAAATTTCTCAAAATCCTCCTCGGTTCGCCGCAGATGGAATTTCATTCTTGCATTTTCGTACTTTCAGGAATGACAAACTTCGATCTACTTGGTGACTTCGGGCGCATCGAGTGGCTAGGTAACTTTAAACTTGTGCTTCTCTACAATCTGATCTTCGCGACAGCGGCGATCGGCTGCCTGGCCACCAAGTTCAGCGCGACCGTGCGTAAAGAGATCTATGCCCGTTTGAGGAGCAGCCTGCTAAGTATCTTTAGGACGGACGCGAAGAGAGGTTTGTCAGGGATGTTTTCTACAAAGGAAGATTAGACTGATTTAGATTGTAATTATAAGCGGAGAGAAATGAGACGCCGGGACCTTGCGAAAGTTTTCCTGGTTTCCGAAAGATACTTGTAGAGAATTACAAGATGTTTTCTCAATTGGAGCCTGAAAGCTCATATTGTGTCTAGAAAAGTGATTGTGAAGGACCTCGGATCGCGGGTTGTCATATGCTCAATTCCTCGTTGCTCGATAATTCCTTGAATAATATTCCTTAACCATTGGAAATATTTGTAAAAAAAAACTCTATCCGTACACGAGTTCCTCGGTGAAATTATAACTATGACAAGAATGCTGATTGACTCACAGATATTCAGTTTCTGAATCATATTATGTCTCGAAACTAGTTTCGGCTGAATTTATCGGCAGAAACGCAATTGTATAAGTACCAGTCTTAGTCGATTAGATTATCACGCGTTAAGTTACGTGTTTAGACTGTTGGATATTCCCACGTATTTCCCATTGATTTGTATTCGATCACAAATATCTCTACTTTCGTATTACGAAATTCCAATCTTGCAATAGAGATTCTGGCTTCATAGGACCTACGTTCCAACAATGTCTGCGAATCCTTTCTTTTCAATCTCTAGACTCTCCCGCGTATTCGAATCTGAAGATCCAAAAAGCTGTTATTACATTCGATAGCCAACGAAACTTTCGTGAGAGCCTAAAAGCTTATCGTTTGAGAACGATCAAGCGAATGTTATAGCAATTTTTTGGTCACTACGATATGCGAGGCCAGTTAGGACACGTCCGATAAGAATGACTAGGGTCATATCCGTGATGCGTAGCCTTAATATAAATTTTTTTTTATTTATTACATTATATTATTCTTACTAGTTTTAAGTATATACTGATTCGGGCTGTAATCAGCTCATCGTAAAGCGAATGTGTGTGTGTATGTATGTATTGTAATCAAAGAATCGGTTTAACACATACTGTCAGAGACTGTAAAGACGATATGTGCGATTTCGAATATGCATCTAGTGAATATATGCGGGATGCCCACCAAAGAAATTTCAATACCGATATGGACAACACGCGATAAGAATCGTCGTCGGTAGACGGATATTAGAACTCGGTCTATCAAATTTTACGATTTTCGGTCCCGTTACGATTAAGTAGAAATATATAAATATATACATATATTTTAATTTAAATAATAACTTTTAATGTGAGTAATTTATTAAAAACTTATTCGATGAATTACATATGAAGCATGAAACGTGCCAGAAGAGTTTTCAGAATGAGTTGTAATAAAAAGAAATTTTAAGAGAATCATTCTCTTGTTCTTTATAATTGGGTGTGCAGCCTGTTACATTGTAATACAAATTTTTTTATATCACAGAATACACACACATATACATATATACATATGCGCAATACTCATATATATATATATATATATATATATATATATATACATATATATATACACACATATTTATACATATATATACATATATATATATACACATATTTATACATAACTCACACAGATTTATATACAGGGTGGACCATTTTAATCCATCCAGTCGAATATGTCGAAAACCAAGCACGGGAGAGAAAAATGTTTCAGACAAAAGTTGTAAGGCTTAAAAAAACGCATTCAACAATAGTAGTTATTTGACATAGGATGGCGTCGCCAAGGTCAGAACAAGGTCAACTTTGCTTTTTTAAATAGAAATACATATTTTTTATTACGGCATTTTATTCAACGTAAAAACGCAAATAACTTTTGCTTGAAAAAATTTTTTATACGACCTCTATTTTCTAAGATATTTACGTAAATATCTTAGAAAATAGAGGTCGTATAAAAAATTTTTTCAAGCAAAAGTTATTTGCGTTTTTACGTTGAATAAAATGCCGTAATAAAAAATATGTATTTCTATTTAAAAAAGCAAAGTTGACCTTGTTCTGACCTTGGCGACGCCATCCTATGTCAAATAACTACTATTGTTGAATGCGTTTTTTTAAGCCTTACAACTTTTGTCTGAAACATTTTTCTCTCCCGTGCTTGGTTTTCGACATATTCGACTGGATGGATTAAAATGGTCCACCCTGTATATATGTATCTCGCATGTCGGGACCTGTCCTTATACTTACAATATCAAAAACAAAATTGTCAAGCGCTTATTACAAATCTAAGAAACAAACTTACAAAAAGATTGGAAAAATCGGTCCCTTAAAGGCACTTTTACCGATAAAAGAGAGTTCAAAAGAAGGCTCGGTTAATTTTAATCCTAATTTAGTAGAATTAACGATGAAAGAATCGGTTATATACATATATATAACCGATTTTTTCATCGTTAATTCTACTAAATTAGGATTAAAATTAACCGAGCCTTCCTTTGAACTCTCTTTTATCGGTAAAAGTGCCTTTAAGGGACCGATTCTTCCAATCTTTTTGTAAGTTTGTTTCTTAGATTTGTAATAAGTGCGCTTGACAATTTTGTTTTTGATATTGTAAGTATAAGGATAGGCCCGACACGCAATATATATATATATATAACTGATTCTCTCATCGTTAATTCTACTAAATTAGGATTAAAATTAATCAAGCCTTCCTCTGAACTCCCTTTTAATGATAAAAGTGCCTTTAAGGGACCGATTTTTCCAATCTTTTCGTAAGCTAACAATTAAATCTTTCTCCTTGAAATTAAAAGGCTTATAAAGTACATTTGAAGGCACTTTTATCGATAAGAGAATTTAGGAGATTTTTTGTGTCAAAAATACGGTATATTAAACTTATATTTTCCTACTTATACTTTACAAGTGTTTATATCTGCCACTTGGCAATCGCAAGTTGTCGTGTCATTCAGTTGTACTTTTCTCAAGCCAGCTTTCTTCAATATGCCTGAGATAATCCTCGCGGCAATACCATTGCGTACAATCTCGTAACAGCCTGGCTGCGACAAGTCTACCACGGTGGAACCGACTCTTCGTGCATCTTTCTTTTTCATAGTGTTCGTTATTGCGTAAAAAATACCGTCGAGCTCAGGCCACAACGTGGAAAACTCGTCGGGATGTAGACTGCTCGGTTCCTTGCTGACGTTCGCGCTGGTGAGCGCGATCGGGCCTATTATTTTCGCTACACTGCGTATGAATTTGGAATTTGGTACGCGGATACCTACACTGTCGGTGCCAGGGTTGAGTGCGGGATTTAGGCTAGGTTTGCGTTTTAGGATCACAGTGTAAGGCCCAGGAAGCAATTTCTCTAATAAAAGGGGCGGTAATTCGTTAGTTACTGCCCACTGTGTCACTTCGTCGACGTTACTCAGGCAGATTGCCAATGGTTTACTCTCGACCCGTTTCTTGATGTCATACAGTCGCTGAATAGCCTCCACATCAGATGCTGAAGCAGCGAATCCATATACAGTGTCTGTTGGCATTGCAATCACTTTACTCTGCTGTAACAGAGTCGCTGCTATGGCGACACTCCTGTTGCCGCTGCATAACCAATGCTTTTCTGTTGAAGGGATTAGCTTTAATTCTGATCTGGCATTATCCAAACTCTCTTTCACAGGACCCATCGAGGCAGAAGTCATAAGGCTTCGGAGAAGAGTATTTCCACTTGCGATAATTAAAAACTGTAATACAAAAAATTGAGTAATTTATAATTTATTCTTTGACAGATAAATGTTTGAAATATTCCCAGATACACATGTTGCCAGTGACTGGCACAAGTATGCAAAGATATATCCTTCTACAGTCAGAACTTTATTAGTATATAGAAAGTTACTTGTGATATGTTACTTGAAAATTGTAGTAATATTCTGATGCCATAAAAATTACTAGTTTCTTAGGTTTGTAATAAGTGCGTGTGACAATTTTGTTTTTGATATTGTAAGTATAAGGACAGGTCCAACACACGAACCACATGCCCACAGGTCCTTGTTCTACTGATAGAAGATTTGCGCATGTTGGACAGAATCGTAGCGGCATGATTCTATAGTTTATTTCAATAACTCTAGTTTATTTCACTCGTCGTTCTCAGATACGTGTACATTACACATCAACCGTTTGTATAATATAGTTTATATCGTGTATATCACTATCACGATTTTTATTTTATTAGAAAAAGAACGAAATCGAATCAGAATTATTATAATAATAAGTAAATATTTTGATTAAAATTGATGCAATAAAAGGATATTTCTTGAAATAAGTATGTATTTCAAACACATGATGCAATAGCATTAGAAGATATACGTTAAGTGTTTGCACATTATATTCAGCATTTCTGTCTATTTGGATTGTTAATGTACTATACACGTGCTATGTAAGTTTTTATATTACCAAACTTTGTAATATTGCTGTAAAAATTTTAAGTAGCGACACCAACTTGAAAAAGTGATTTATCACTTCACAAAAACGATAAGTCTGCGATGTATTGAGATTAAAAAGTTATAAAATTATGAATAGATTGTTATTTTACCGAACCAAACAGCGATCGCTCAGGTATATCGCAAATATATGAAAGATTTTATTGTACACATTTACATGCTTTTTTGCACTTGGAATGAACAGCACATGTAGACACATGTTCGCACGTTGGAGAAACAATCAGACTCGTGGCACTTTTTTTTTAGCTGCACTAGTGCAACTAGCACTGCTGAACTAGTGCAATAAGTTAGAGTGAAATAAGTATACTTTCTCTCACTCTAACCTATTACAATAGTTCAGCAGTGCAATTGAAAAGAATATATCATCAAGTATATTGCAAATGTATGAGAGATTTCATCATACACATTTACATGTCTTTTTGTACTTGAAATGAAACAGCATGTTCGCGCGTTGGAGAAAGAATAAGAGAGAAGAAATAAAGTGCAAGTGAAACAAATTTTTCGCTATCGCGCGATTCACGATACATTGAAATTCTTAACCTCAAAAAAAATTCACGATACATTGAAATTCTTAACCTCTAATTTGTTTTTAATTTAGAAGGCGCGGTCCAATAACCGTTACAAATTCTGCGCAATGTTTCTTTTGTTCTATTTTTCGGATTCGAATGAAGAAAAAGAAAGAAGTAAAAATATTACAAAGCATTTGTAGCGCTTACTAGACCGTACCTATAAACATTTACAGTATTGATTTCAAAGTCAAGCGTCTAAGACTTACCTGGGAGTTTAACCTTCTCGCCAAGTATACATACACTTGGGGTCGCAACATTTGTAGAAAATCGTGCTGGCTTCATCGGCAGAACGAGTTTGCATTTGCAAATAATAAGCACGTGGATGCGAACATTTTGGACAACGCTCATCCGTAGCACTTACACTTTCCCATGCCACACTGCTACTATGAATATCAATTTGTTTCTTAGGTTTGTAATAAGTGCGTGTGACAATTTTGTTTTTGATATTGTAAGTATAAGGACAGGTCCGACACACGAACCGCATGCCCACAGGTCCTTGTTCTACTGATAGAAGATTTGCGCATGTTGGACAGAATCGTAGCGGCATGATTCTATAGTTTATTTCAATAACTCTAGTTTATTTCACTCGTTGTTCTCAGATACGTGTATATTACACATCAACCGTTTGTATAATATAGTTTATATCGTGTGTATCACTATCACGATTTTTATTCCGTTACGTACACTGCAATTTTGGACAAAATCATAAAACTCTTATTCTCGTAGACTTATAAATATATCTGCAATTCTATGCAATTCTATACTCAATCGACGCGTTTTTTTTTTAAAGGCAAACAACTTTTCTATTTGGAAAAATTGTCGTTCTCTATGATGAAGCGTGATATTAATTGATAAAATTGATCACTGTTAAGGTTAGGAGACTATCACACCGACTCTCTTTTTCTCTCTCCCTCTCTCTCTCTCAGTTGCAGATCACGGTGGCACTTTCCCCAAATGTTAAGCTGTTAAAATGTCACTTCTATTTTAACATATTCACAGTGTACACCAGTTGCGTTGATGCTATACTATTCCCCAGATCGATAGTACTAAAAAGTTTTGACCAGCTGTGTCCGTTTCTAGCTGATCGTTTTTCATGATTGTTGATTCATCCGGCAAGCGGGAATATGTCAAAATAGAAGTGAGATTTTGACAGCTTGGCATTTCATACATAGGTATTTTTATCAGAAGTTTATCCGCTCACATGTAACGCGCAATCAGTAGAAGAAGAGTAAGAATGTTAAAAAAGGTAAGTATTCAGTAAGTAATCTGCGCGCAGACTGACGTCAGACTACCCAGTAAGCAATCTGCGCGCAGACTGACGTCAGCTACCCAGTAAGCAATCTGCGCGCAGACTGACGTCAGACTGTCGACAGGGGCTGCGTTCCGAAATTAACTGCCAGTACTGAAAGTATGACGTCATAAAGTAGAACTGCGGATCCGTTCCGTAATTACTGATGCTGCTTTTCAGCTTGTAATGCAATCAATAACGGAACGGACTCGCAGTAGAAATATTCAGTATTGTGGAGGTTAAGATAAACAAGTTTCATAGATAATTATGGATCAAACATAGCGTGATATGGAGATTGTGATTTTAACAAAAGTTGTAAAATATGTAATAGAATCTTCTGAAAGTTCTTCAGATAGCGAAGAAGATGATATATTTTTAAGGACTCTTAATAGAAATTTGACTCCACGTTTTCGTTGCAAGGACTATGTTGAAAGTGTTATACCATTGTATACAGACGAGGAATTTCAAATGCACTTTCGGTACAGAAAACAATATACAATTTTTACCTAATGTACATCAAACGCATGTAAAAGAAATATGATAAAATGTGCCATTGATTATTAAAAAAAAAAAGTAATATCAAGAAAATGGAATTTATTGTTTCAGACTTAAACGAAGTACTTTTCAATTCTTATTTAAATTATTAAATCCTAAATTAAATAAACAAAATAAAATAAAAATAAAATAATTATAAAAGTAAAATAATTATTGATTATTACAAACTTATACCTGTACGTGCTTTTTCAGCATCTTCACGACTAACTGTTACATTATATATTTTATTACTTTCTGAACATATGAGGCTTAACGTTTCATCACAGAGCACCGCCATTTTTTAACTGCTGGTGTCTTACCTCGCCAGCCGCAGTAACGAAAGCAGGAAATTACGTCAAAATATATGACGTCACGTGTTAACGAAAGTACATTGAAAGCTTACTGCGACGTATTTCGGAACGACTTTGCAGTACTGCAAGTACTGACAGTGAGTTTCGGAACGCAGCC